AGGACTGATGATCCCTTCAGGACCAGTGTTGAGAGTGGCGATACCGGGAGGATGAAGGGAGGGTGGGTTGGAAAGGTGGAACCAATTACAAGGATCTATATATAACCTCCTCCCTGTGGGACAGACAACAGAAAAGTGGGTGAAGGGAGATGTTGGACAGTGTAAGTTATGGGGAGGGAGGGGAAAATGAGGAGCTGATACCAAGGGCTTAAGTGGAGAGCAAATGTTTTGAGAATGATGAGGGCAATGAATGTACAAATGTGCTTTACACATGATGTATGTATGGATTGTGATAAGAGTTGTATGAGGCCCCAGTAAAATTATTTTTAAAAAAAAGAATAACTCAATTGAAAGTTTCAAAACTATAAACTCATAATAAATTCAAAGCGAAAACAATGCCCAGTAGTTGAGAGCCAGTGGAAACCTTAAATAGAAGAAGCAGACTTTGGAAATTAGCGTTACCTAACATAAATTGCAAAATGAATGTGCTCTATGCAATTAAAGCAATAAAATGTCATTTTGAAAGTCTGAATTAGGTGAACCAGATTTTTTAAATGTTGGTTTGTTAGATAATTTTTGTGGGTCTAATAAACTACTGCTTAGTTTGTTAGTCCTATGATTAAAAAAAAAATAAAAAGCAAAAACTAACATTATAAGTAGCTTAAACCTGGAATAGGGTTCCTAATAGAAACAATGGAGGAGAAAACACTCCAATAACAAAATACATAGATCTGTTAGAAGTAAGAAATACAATGAGTAAGTTTAGAAAAGTCAATAAATATATTAGACGGAGTAAAGAGAAAATTGGATACTTATGAAGAGATAACTAGTGAACTGGATAAAAAAGATGATGAATTTGAATAAAAGGCAGAGCAGAAATACAAACAGACTTTAAAATATGGAGGAGAGTTTCCCAAGATAGGAAAAATTGAGCCATCGAGATATATATAATACATATAATCAGTGTATGTGATTATAGAGTGAAGGGTTAAAACAATATTGTAAGAGATACAGCCAGAGAGCAAGAGATATGATCAATCTCAGAGTCCTTTTTAGGCCAGCTGAGGGAACTTGAACTTTATTATAGAGGAGGGAAGTTATGAGCTATTTTAACCAGAATGGAACAGAGTCAGATTTCCATTTGACTGCCTTTGGGGAGTAAATTAGATTTGAAATGAGGCTAACTTTGGCTAAGGAACCAATCAGGTCTATCGAAATCTTATAAAAGAGATACACTGTCATTGAGTCTCTTCCAGCTCAAAGCAACCCCATACAGGGTTTCCAAGACTGTAAGTCTTACTGTGTGGACAGACTCATCTTTCTCCCACAGAGTGGCTTGCCTAACCCCTGGTCCCACCATCGTCCCTTGTAGAAGCAGACAGCTTGTATAAATACTTTGAAGAAACATTTACATAAAGTGGTACCCAGTTGGAAATGAAGGGTAAAAGATTTTCAATGTCAACTTTACCTCTCTGATAAGTATTGCTTTTGCTGCTTAAGCACAATTTATTCCATCTCCAAAGTTCTTTCTATACATCACTTTTTAAAAATTTATCTCACTGTAACGAACTTTTTTGTCTACCTTTTCCACCAGAGCATGAATTCCTTGAGGTAAAATATGCATGTGATTAATTTTAATGCTTATTTTTAAAAATCTTATTCAGTACACCACATGGAATCTGCCAGGGATTCAACAAGACTCACCTTAACAAGGTCTGCATGCTAACACTCATAATTTTTGCACAGAAAGGGAAGCATGAAAGGAATAGGCAGACCACAAAGGGTCTTATATGACACACAAAAGACTTGGATCTGATCCTCTGGTTGGTGGAGGCCCTCAGAGTGGAGGAGAGCCATGGTTAGTTTGTATTGTGTGAAATAACTTGGATGACAATTTGAATGTGTGAAAGAACCAGTAGATGTTAATTCTAATCTCAAGGAGAGATCATTAACAGCTGAATTAAGAAAGTCATAAATATAAATTAGGATGAGGGAACTGAGCTAAACAGTGGTGGGATTCAAATAATTTAACAACCAGTTTGCTGTCCTAGTGACCATTTTATGTATAACAAAAGATACACCAAAGGGTAGTTTATTATTTTACACATATAAGAATAATAAAAAGAGGTACAAAAGACTAACTTATAAGAGTTTTAACATATTAATGAAAAATATTAAAATAATACCAGATGGGATGAACAATACTGCAGGAGCTTAGAAAATGCTGTTGTCCAGATGAATGTTGAACAAGAGTAAGGAATGCAAATTTGAGATTTCCACATTTGGCCCAGCCTCCCAACTTAGAATGAGTGGACCCTCATTACAAGTTTCATTTTATGAACCAGTTTGCCGCCAAACTAAAAAAAAAGACTAGGTATTGGTTCTGCTGAACCGATGCAAACTGGCTGAATCCCCCCACTGGCTGAAAATTACTGAGATGGTATGCTGTCAGGACTTAGCTTATCGTTCAGATGTTGAAGATGTGGGAGAAATGTGAACTGGGAATGAATCCAACTTTTACTTTGCGATATGGACTACCTTTACAGCAGATGTGAAACTCAGCAAAGGGAGTCACTGTAATGATTAAGTTTGTTTGTTTTTTATGGAGTCTTCCACTTTGAATCATCATGAATCTTGAAAACCAATACAGAACTTGATCAAGCAATACTCACTTGCAAAGAGTTGCTGACACCATAGAAATACCAAAGACAAAGATCTCAACTTCCATGCCTTACAGACAGCTTGCAATGAACAGAAAGTTTCCATTTCGTGTCTTGATTCTCCATTTTTCAGATATTTCTCTGTCTCTTCTTTTAGTGTGCTGGAGTCCTGAATATTCCCTCTAGGTACACCATGATGCCCAACACTTACTTCTACTTCCTGGCAGAAGGTAGCATTGGGGCCATATTGCAGTTGGCATTGGTGGTGAACATCGTAGATCACTCCTGGAGCAATGACCTTGGATTTCAAGCCTTTCTTTTTGGGGATGTCATCCAGGCAGAAACCCAAACCTCGACTGAAACAGGTGAATGGAAATTAGAGCAGTTGCTTAAAATTCTCTTTCTCTTTAGCCCTTCATTCAACAGAAGTTTCCATCCCTTCAGTTGACCATTTTTCTTTAAAACAATTCATGGTAGAGAGGGTTCCTGGTCTAAGGGAGAAGTCATGTAGATGAAAATGTAAATTATACCCCATACCAATAATCTAGCAATGATCTGATCATGACTTAAACCCCCAATGGGATCTTGCTGACTGTTGCTCATCTGTCCAGTTTTCTCCTGCCAGACCTCCCTAGAAGGGAGGAAAAGGGCAAAAGGAGCCAAGTATTGGAATCCAGTCATAGTATGAAGACCCACCTTAGGGCAGAGGCAAGCCAAGAGGGGATAGGATGTTGACTTGGCTGTGGAAGGAGGGTAGAAGTGAGCTACAGCTCAAGAAGCCAGGAAGCAGAAGGGAACTCCACCTTCTCTAATGCCACCCTGACACTGTGGCCCTCAGGAAGTACAGAGCTTTCTTCAAAAAGCAGGCCTTGCAGGTAAAAAGTGGCATCTGGTTTAAAGAGACCCAAGTCTCCAGCATCCCGAGGGGGGCTGTCACTTACTCCAAGAAGCGGGTGATGTACTCCTTGCTGCACTTGGACCAGGTCAGTGGGGTGGAATCATACTGGAGCTGGCGGGACATGATGTACGGGTGCCTGCCCACAGGCTCACAGTCATTTTCTTTCCCATCATGCTGGATGCCGAAGCTGGAAGGGAGGCACAAAGCACAAGAATAGCAAGTAAGCAGGAATTAAGCAGAAGAAAATCACAGTTTCTTTGAGAGGATAATAACCTGCGGAGAGCCACTTTCGTACAGAAGGCAGCTGTTTACAAAGTGAGACTTTAAAGTTGGAGGGAGAGAGCCCATTTTTGAACTTAAAAGCACAGGAGATATTTGAGGAGTGCCTTTGCTAACATGTGCAGCCAAGGCAGCCTTGTAGCCAACTAAAACCTTCTGTCTGAGAAAAAGTTGAGACATCTCAGTCTGACTTTCTATCAGCAGCACCAGGAGGGCAAATCCAGCCCCAACCTATAATCTTTTTCCTCATGCAGTGACCACATCAAAAAAGAACTAAACCTTCTCTCTTCGTGTTCATCATATGTTAATAATATGAGAGAATTTTTTTCAAAACCATTGTCTAGCTTCCACACAAGGAATTTCCTTTGAAAGTTGTGAAAAGGGACACAGCTAACGAGAGGCACAGTCCATTTCGAAGAGCACCTAGGTTTCTGTGCGCCAGAGCCGTTCTCGTCCCTGTCTTACTCTCTGTGGTCCTTGACCGCCCATTATCAGGATCGACCAGGGGGAACATCTCTGAAGATACCTCAAGAACTCAGCCATCTGTGATACCTGGGAAAGGAGCTGACTCAGAAATGCTTTTATAAAATGAGTCCTCAGGTCATCCAAGTTGCCTTCTGAGATTCTCACAAGAACCCTCTCCAGTCTGGGGGGCTGGCACTCCCCCGAGAAGAAGTTATTTCAAAGGATGGCACTGAATCCGCAGCTCCGG